ATACCGTCAGATTTAATTTCGACAAAAAAGTTGAGAAGTAATTAGTGCATTCGCGTCGTCCTTTTGTAGATCGGGTCTGTAGCAAAGGTTTAAATCATGGAATGACGCAACGCAAAGAAAGTTAACCTAATTTTTTCGGGTGCCAAATCTGAAGTAAAGAATTTCAAAAATTAATAATATCAGATCTTTTATCTGTATCAATAATATTGAGGGTACAGTCAGACAACAATTTAATATTCTGTTGTGAAATGCTTATATTGGTTGGCTAAAAGACCCATGTGATTTGAGAAAAAGAAAATTAAAGAAAATTTTCGCTATTAAATTTATTAATCAAAACTAGAAAGACACATGAAGATTTCAGGGTTTTCCCATTTAAAATGTCTAGTGTATCTTTATTTTTCAGTTAATGATGGAATAAATTCATGAGTTCCATGACAATAAAATATCCGTAAAAATTCCAGTATCACATAGTTAAATATTTGATCTTAACGAAAATAAAATCATTATTATTATTATTTTAAGAAGTGGGTACAAATGAAAAGAGGCACGGTGTAGTAGTGGATGTTGGTTGGTTGGTTGGGTTTTATGGTATATCAAAATGCCAAATTGTTATATATATATATATATATATATATATATATATATATATATATATATATATATATATATATATATATATATATATATATATATATATATATATATATATATATATATATATATATATATATATATATATATATATATATATATATATATATATATATATATATATATATATATATATATACATATATTAAATATACAGTACTATTAAACGTATAGCTGACAACGTTATTTTTCAAAAACGTATAGCTGGCAACATTATTTTTCTGAAAACATTATCTGAGGCCTTGCTGTTGGACGTAGTTTAACGTCATACCCAGGACGCCGGTGTAGTTTAACGTCATACCCAGGACGCGGATGTAGTTTATCGCCATACCCAGGACATGGATGTAGTTTATTGTCATACCCAGGACGCGGATGTAGTTTATTGTCATACCCAGGACGCGGATGTAGTTTATCGCCATACCCAGGACAGGGATGTAGTTTATCGCCATACCCAGGACACGGATGTAGTTTATTGTCATACCCAGGACGCGGATGTATTTTATCGCCATACCCAGGACGCGGATGTAGTTTATCGCCATACCCAGGACACGGATGTAGTTTATTGTCATACCCAGGACGCGGATGTAGTTTATCGCCATACCCAGGACGCGGATGTAGTTTATCGCCATACCCAGGACACGGATGTAGTTTATTGTCATACCCAGGACGCGGATGTATTTTATCGCCATACCCAGGACGCGGATGTAGTTTATCGCCATACCCAGGACACGGATGTAGTTTATCGCCATACCCAGGACGCGGATGTAGTTTATCGCCATACCCAGGACACGGATGTAGTTTATTGTCATACCCAGGACGTGGGTAAGATCTGGAAAAACTAGGAGTTCACTATTTGCCCATAGCTGGGACCCTAAAAGGTGCTACCACCCCCGGTCAAGGTGGACCTGGGAACACCAGCAATTAAGAGGTGGTTCCACGCTCTTCAAAACCTCCTGATCAGAGGCCTTGTTGCTGGATGTAGTTTATCGTCTTACCCAGGACGCGGATGCAGT